CATCTCAGACATATATAATGCTCATGTAGCGTAGTGTATATTTTCTCCCTTGATCAATAGACCTGCTAGAGAGGATTTTTCTTTCTTAAATTTTGGGAACAACCTAAGAATCACTAGATGATTATTCTCGAAAGAATAATAATAATAAAATTCTCACCCTCAAATAATTGGACATAATATATTCAATCTTGAGACGTTACTTTTGTTTAAGTCCATAGAGGGTACAAGTAAGAATCTTTTTTCTTTTTTTTTTGAAAAATTATTAGAAATATACCTTAATTTTGCCTAATTAGAAAAAAAACTCATACTTTCATTAACCTCGTCCACACTATTTTTTTCTCATTTTTGGCCTTTTTTTTTTATCAAAATATCCTTCACGGTAGTCGTATTATCGAGAAGGCATGATGCATCACGATACTTAAAGTGCTATGATGACTATCACATGTTATAGATTCAAACATAATGACTAGATGCATCCCGGTATTTTAAGTATCGTGATGACTCTCACATGTTTTACGACACTTAAAATGTTATTATTATATTGGATAATAATTACGATAAAAAGATTATTGTGACGCTAAAGAGCGTTATTATGGTACTTTAAGTACCATAATGCTAAAGGGCTTTATTGCAGTACTTTAAGTATTGTAATACTATGTTAAAGGCCTTCATGCCCACCTGGCTCATTTAAATGTTTTAATTAAGATTAATAGAAAGTTCAAATATAATCTTGCTCAAAATCTAAAGTGGGCCCCAACAATAATTTCCCAGAACACTGGTCATTGCCGAACTTTGCCATCTGTTTCCTATTCAGAATAAGAAACATGTTTTCTTTTCCTACTTGACAAATTCATAGATCTTCTCAATCCTAAGTTAAGGGAGATTAGCAAATCTTATTTTATTGATTCAGATACTGTACCCTCTCACTTTGTTTCTCTTCCGCCTCTCAGCGTTTGTTGTCCACTCTCTCTTCTTCTGTTTTTGGCTATGAGACTGTGCTTTTGCAGGTAAGAAGAAGGATGACTCTTTTGACGTCGACGTCGACGTCGAGGTCAAGGTCTTGTCGGTTTCTGTTATGTGCAATCCCTTTGACGGGAGTTCTTTACCATCTATTGACATGCCTCAATCCATCCACAATGGCACAATATGTGATGGTTGTGGAGTGCACCCCATAATTGGCACAAGATACAAGTTTGCACAATAAATATGGTAATTTGACTTAGTTTTCCAAGCCTCTCTATGGTAAAATTATATATTCTATTTATTTAAAAGAAATAAATACTATTGTAGCCATCAAAAGAGAAATATAGATGTTTCTTTATTTGAACAGGAAACAGAGGATAAAGTCCGGCAATGACCAAGATTGTACTTGAACTTTTTATTAATATTAAATAAAACATTTAAATGAGTCAGGTGAGCATGAAGTCCTTTAGCATTAGGGTACTTAAAGTATCGTAATGAAACCCTTTAGCATTAGAGTACTTAAAGTATCGTAATGAAACCCTTTAGCACTACGGTACTTAAAGTACTGTAATGATGCCTTTTAGCATCATGATAATTTTTTTAATGTAAATATCATCTAGTATAATAACAACATTTTAAGTGCTGTAAAACATGTGAGAGTCATCACGGTACTTAGAGTACCGTGATGCCTCAAGACATTACATTTGAATCTATAACTTATGATAGTCATCACGACACTTTAAGTATCGTGATGCATCATACCTTCGCGGTAATACAACTATTGTGAATGCTATTTTGGTCAAAAGAATATCAAAATGAAAAAAAAATGGTATGAATGAAGTTAATGAAACTATGAAGTTTTTTTCTAATTAGATAGAAATTAAGGTATATTTATGATAATTTATCTTTTTAAATAAAATTAAAATTAATTTATGGGTTGAAGAGGTAATATCCCCTAAATTTGGGGTCTTAAAGTTAATTTTAAATGGGGTTTTATCTGAGGGAGTAATTGGATAGTATATACTCCCATGGGAGTACAATATCTTTTGACATTTTTTAAATACAGTACCAGTCTTTGGAAGTTTGCTGGGGAAAGGGGTAGACAAGTCACATTTCAATGTAATTATTAGAGAGAAATGAAATAGCCAAAATCAAAATGCCCAATAAATATTTTAAAATGACATTGCAACTGGGTTTATGAAACAAATAATTAATTCTATTTTTCTATTGTGTCTATTTTTTTAAAATAAAATGTTTATATAATTTCACAACCTTTTTCTTTTTTGAGTAAATATGAACTTCATTAAGATAATGAAAAAGTACAATGCAAGGAAGAACAACAAAAATAGAAAAAGGGAAGAGAAGGATTGTACACAAAAGACCAAGAGGGAAAACAAGGAAAGGATGTGATTAAAAGAAAAAGGCGAACCATAACCAAATCTTAAGGTGTAGCCCTATTGGCCAGACGGCCAGTATCCGAATTGAATCCACTAGGTACATACGAGAAAGATATTTGGAAGTCTCTCAGATGAATTGAGATTTTATCCATGAGACCGCTAAGATGCCAAGTGGTAGAATCTGGAGCCAAGCACCATCTGATGACATTTGTCGAGTCTCCCTCAATATACACCCTGAGATATGCAAGATTCAGATTAAGGATGCCCATCTTCAACGCCCACAACTTCGTTTCATTAACCTCACAAGAGTGAATTTTGCTTGGGATCGTCCAAATCAACTCTCCTCGATGGTCGTGGAGAATACCCCCATATCCAGTTGCGAGTCCCTTAACGCTCCCGTCAAAGTTTAGTTTAACCCATCCTTCCTTAAGGGGCTTCCACTCGGAGCTCAGGGGAGAACATTTGGGCTTATAAGTCATAAGGTTTTTGAAGTGAACAAAGAAAAAATCCTTAGGATTAACATGAATGGGCAATGACCTATAGGCCAAAGACAGGATTGACTCTTGAATAGTCAAGAGGAAGGAAGGGAGATCCTAGCTACGGCTTTCGAAAGTTATGAGATTACGTTCCTTCCATAAGTTCTAGAGTAGGGTTGAAACAGAGATCCTCCATAAGTTAGAGCCCAAGGATGGAAGGGGAGAGGGCCAAACCTGTTGAAGCAAGGCATATATATTGTAATGTCTGGGGAGCTCCAATTTATAATAAGCTGTAGCCAGTCACAAAGATCACTAACAAAGGGGCAATGGATGAAGAGGTGATCGATAGATTCATCTTTGTTTTTACACAACAAGCAAATATTAGTAAGGATCATCCCCCTTTTTGGCAATCTATCCATATTGAGAAGTCTTCCCTGGCTCAGAAACCTTAACAAGGTCTTGACTCTGTGTGGGACTTTATAATTCCAGAACTTGGCAATAAGTGGCATGTCCTTAATATATCGGTTTTTGCAGAGAATTTGGTAAAGGGACTGAACTGAGAATACTCCACTAGGCTCCAAGCTCCAAATGATTATGTCCGGCTTCCTTGGGTGGAAACATAAGGCATAGAGTGAGGTTATAAGAGACTGGAATGGCTCTGCGACAACTGAGCCATCTGAGCAAGAGACAATGTTGGCCACAAATTCCTGCTTTTGGATTGATCTATTATACAACTTCGGGTACAAATGTTTCTAGGGATAGTCTCCCAACCTGAAAAAAAAAAAGAAGGAAAAAGGCTGTTCTAATGTTGGAAAATTCTTTAATTGATCACCTTGATATTAAGATATATGAATATGTGAAAAAATAAAAATTTCAAGTTCCAAAAATAGTTCATCTTGCAATACATTATCTAGACCATCCATTTTCAAGATTTTTATATGTTTATAGATTTACTTGATTTGAACTATTTTCAGGATTTTAAAATTCATAATTAAAGATGAAAATGGATTGTAAGGACATGTTACGATTTTTTTACACTAAAATTATAGCTTATGATAAAATTTAGATATTCACCTTACTTGGATTGTTTGACGTCGCAACCTTATACAAACCACACACTTTTAAAAAATATAAATAATATGATATTTCAAAATTGATTACAACCCGGCCTTTTTTGGAAAGTCTTGGCCATTTTTTTCGAATATCAATTTTGTTTTGTACAAAGAGTTCACTGTCTTTTTATATAAATAGTCTATAATAACTTTTATACAAAAATGCCACAATCACTTTTTGCTGTTAGCTATTAAAATGGTGGTAAAAAAACATGCAATTAACCGCTCTCAAAACACAAAATAAATTTTTCCGGACAACTTCGTGACACACCTCCAACAACGTGATTTGAATATAATGCTTGAAGTGTGATTGTAAAATAAAAACAAAGAAACTCCATTGGTATTCCACCCCAAATTAAACAAACAAGAATAATCCAAATATTTTGTCTAAGAACCGAGTGCTAATTTGACTACTAAGAATACCAGTGTTTTAAAGCCAGATAGCCTGAGTGAATCGACCATATCGGTGAATCACGACCAATTTTCCTGGATGAGAATGGGTTAATAAAATAATGTCAAAAATGAAAAAGACTACAATAATAATAAAAAATATATCATGGAAATGAGGATGAGGGTCCGAACAATCAATGTAAAACATACCTTTAAATAGTATCGAGAAATGTGGTTTCAATATCGAAAATCTTTGTGATAGCCTTAAAATATATTTTCATATCTAATTATAAAATTTAAAGCTTAAAAAGTAATGTAGATCGAGCATATCCATGGAATCTTGAAATCTATTTTTAAAAACTTAAAATCTATTTTTTTTTTCAGATTCATGTATTTGATGTTGAGATGGTTAATTTGAAGATATTTGAGCATAAAAGCAACGTCTTCTAGTGAAATTTTTTAGCTACGCTCTAATTTGATTGTTTAGACTTTGGCGCCTAGCTCTTATATACAAACATTTTTTCCTTTTAAAACACTCAATAAAACGGAGGCCATTTCTGTCATTGCTTCAAAAGTTAAGGTTATTTCAGTCGTTGATTTACGTCAATTGAGGTCAATGAAGTCATTTTTCAATCAAAGATAGTGATATCAAAATCCGCCTGAATTACACAGCGACAACTTCGACGATTCATCACCACACTTCTGTCCGTCCCGGAAAGCCTAGAAACGCCTGGAAACCGCTAAACCTTGCCGGGCCGAAAACCATGTAAATAATCTGTAAAATCGCAGTTTTCTACCAAAAATTAAGCCCGGGAAGCCCTAAATTTGTTCCGGAAACGGCCACTGGAAAATCAGAAAGTCCGCCGGGAAATCACTTCCGGCCTGTAAGATGCCTTCAAGTGCGGCCTGTAAGAGGCCGGAAAATTTGGTGGAGGGTCTGAGCTCGAAGGATCCAGGAACGAGGCTTAAGGCTTTGAGAGATTTGAAGAACCAGATTATAGGAAACAGGACTAAGAAGCTGCGTTATGTGAAATTAGGTGCAGTTCCATTGGTGAGTGAGATGCTTGAAAGTGGCTCTGAGTCTGTGGTTCTAGTTCAGGCTATTGCAACCCTAGGTAGCTTTGGTTGTGGTCTAGATGCAGGGGTCGAGGCTATAGTGAAGAGTGGTGCTCTTCCTTATCTTTTCTCTACTCTTGCAAATCCTGATGAGAAGGTAAACCGTGTCTTCAGGTTTTCAATTTATCTAGAGTTCGTGTGGTTGTATTGTGAATTGTGGTTTTCTCTGCCTTTTTTTCTTTTTTTTTTGTGAGTCGTGGTATTTGCTAATATCGTTTTGCAAAATTTTAGCTACTCGATTGGTAATTGGTTGAATTGCATGAGGCTTTTCTTTTGGAGGATATTTGCTTCTCTCTTTTGTGGTTTTGATGGTTAAGTTTTTCCCGTTGTCATTGTTGCTCTTTGTGAAATTGACTGGTTTTTGGTGGTTTAGAATCCGGTTCAGTATTTTGGAGAAATTAAATGGCAATTGCCAGTTTTCTTGATTCATTAGTTGGACGGTATTTGGATTTTTTTCTCCTTTCTTCTGCTGTACCCTTTTGTTAAATTTCAATTGTATATATTGTTCTTTTTTGTGAAATTTATTGGACTTTTTGTATTACTTGGAACTTGGTTTGATTTGGTTGTAAAATTAAGTAAAACTTCACCTCTTTTTGTAATTAGCTGCTCGTAAATTATGTGTTTACACACTCATATTAGTGTTGTCGTGCATATAGGAAATAGTTTCTGCCTCAAATTTGTTTTTAGATTTAGTGATCACCAAAAAAAATAAATTATATTCTCATTTATGTATATATAGTTATGGAAGCGGTTAATTTCATATAAGCAGAAAATCAAATATGCAAAAATCCCTTATAGGGAAACTGACGGGAAAATATGCCCACGATATTTGGCCTTGATTGTGGCATGTTCGAAATATATTACCTGTGAATCATGCTTAAACCTGCCAATGGAGTGTGGATTGTTAAAAAAAGAAACTGGAGAAATTATTACAAATGCTAGCATTTTCACCATGTAATTTTGCTTGATCACTCTGCTGAAAATTTAAGTTTGCAAGGATACGGCTTTGATTCCTACTACCAGATTATGCACAACATTCGTTGCCCTTTTTAAGTAAACAAAATTATTCTTGATCAATCTGCTAAAGATTACACAAATCTTCTTTAGCCTTCTAGTATAGAATTCCGTGCTCTGCAATTGTACTTGGTGCATAAACCTATTTTTGCTAGGGCTTCTCTCTCTCTAGGTATGAGGCCTCAAAAATTTAAAATCCTAGCAGAAGGTAGATTTTACATACTTATGAACGTGTATTTCCAATGAAGTGTTTATGAGAGGCCATGGACAAAAGCTATGGGCTTGAACGGTACTAAATGGATTTGTCCTTTCTTTCTTGCAGACATTGATTGTATACTATAAGACCATCCACTTTTAGTACAAGAAGGCCACAATAACTATTAGCCATTGGATGTCAAATCCGATAAGTTAAAGTGTTTCACAATTCAAAAACTTCTATTTTGGACTTTGTGTTCAGTCGATGACAGATCCCCAACCACTTGATTTCACATATAACAATAAATGATGATTGTGACCTCCTTATACCAAAAGTAAATGGTCATATTGTATACATTTCCTTTTTAATAAACTCCATCAATAAATAACCTCATATTGTGTAAGGGCCTGAGTTTTTGAAGAATTGTCATTGATAGCCCAGGATGGGAGGTTATTGGGGTGCTTCTGGCGAGGGATAAGCGGCCTCGAGCTTTCTTCTTATGAAAATACCAAATTGATCATGTTTTATCGTGGAGTTATTCCATGGTGATTTCCCAATAGATGGTACAATTTTAAATTGTGTTTCTCTCGATACACAAGAAAATTGCAAATCTGTAGAGATTCTAAATGATCTTTCCCTTAAGTGAAAATGCTGTAACATTTCTCCAGAAAAAAGAAAAAGAGCTGAAATAGAACAAAATTGGATTTGGTTTCCAGAGGTAGGCATCATGCTACTCACAAAAAAGATGTCCAGAAAGAAGTTGGAACCTCCCTGGTGACACCATTGCAATGGATCACCAATGATGGTCAATTCCAAGGAATTTTAACACACAGAGTATACTGCTGCTAGGAAACTGACGACTGCGACTCTGGATGTGATTCCGGGTTAGTTTTTTTAAATATTACATAGCCAAAATAAGGAGGATGGTGAGAGATACAGAGTTGGCGATAATGGGAAAGTACTTTATTTTTGGAATTACCTTATAATGGGTTTTTATAAAATCTAAAAGAGTCCATGTCATTTTTAGCTCTTATGGTAAGTACTTATAGAACAAGTTATGGCCTAGGCATTTAAGTTTATAAATAGATGGGGTATGTGAGGCACTGGAGGTGTGAAGGTATGAGAGAAAGTTAAAGAGAGAGAGTTAGAAATTGGTGTTAAGAGATAGAGAGAGAGAGAGGGAGGTCATCAAGCCATAGAGTTCTAGAGAGAGTGTAGAGATAAAATTTAAGAGTATGTGAAGCCCATTGAGGCGAGGATGTTTGGAATAAAATCACCCCAAATTTCTGTGTATGTGTGCATGATTGATCAAGCCAGCCAACAACCACTGCTTGTTTGTCTTTTTTCAACAAATTTCTCATCTGATGGGGTTAATCAAATGAAATTTAGTGGTTACCAATCAAAAAAAGAAAAAAGAAAAGAAAAGGGAAATTAGTGATCTGACCCCAGAATTTCGACACGAAAACTTTGCTTTATGATCCCTAAGGCTCTTCAGTCGTGATGACTTCAAACACCATTCAAACCTACCTTGCTTCTCTTAAATAATCCAATAGATGCAATGCTCTAAAAAATGGGTCGTGAGTGAATCTCTCTCCAGGCATACCGAGCCTAACTCTAGTACCATACTGTTTTTTTTTTTAAAGAAAAAAAAGAGGAAAATTGTCTCCCATCCCCATCATTAAACGTAAACTCCATACAATGGTTTGCCCCAATGAAACAGATGCCCCTCCATCACTTCAACCCTTGAAGACCTACTTTGATCCACACTTCCCAACCTCCTGGTCCTGCCCATAGTTGCTTCTTGGCAACCTGCCCTAGGACTATCTGCCTCCAAAGCTAGTCAATAGTGTATTCACTGAGTAGCCAAGATCATTTTTCTATCTTCTAGGGTTTGAATGCTATTGGGAAGCATGCTGGGAGACAAGCCTCTGGTATTGTAGAAAATAATAGGTTAGCTTGGCTTGCTTTGAGGAACAAGCATATGGGGATTGAATGCTGATTCGCCAAAATGTAGGTTTCTTCCTACTGGACAAAAGGCCCCAAGTCTACTATCCTTTCATATTTAAAAAATTAAAATGATATTGCCAGAAAGTCATGTATTTTAGAGCTCTATTACGTTAACTGATCAGAGTTGATTATCATGAATCCTGCTTGTCGTGTGATCTTCGGTCCTGCTTCTAAGAAGTAACTGTACAGTCTTTCTTTATTATTTTGGCATCAATGTTATATCCAGTTTTTTTAAAATCCTATTTCACATGGAAATTACGCTATCACAGTCAGAGTACCATGAATCTCATACTTGGCTGCTGCAATAATCAGCACGCATCATGTCAGAAAATTTTGAATGCCATATATGTTTTTCAAATTTTGAATGCCATAGATGAGTACTTTTCCTTTATCATGTTCGATATTGGTGGCTTCCATTTTTACAAAGAGAGTCCTCCAAAATTAGCAGTCACTTGTTGGCCACATTTAATGTCACTTTAATATTCTGTATACTTTCTAAACCTCAGCATTATCAGGATCATATCTTTTGTAAGATTAAGGTTGCATGATCATATTATTCCTCTAAAAGTAAAGCTCTTTTGTAGTTTTCGACCTGTTAGATCATTGCATGCTTAAATTTCTCATTTGGATATGGTTCTGTTTGTTTTCCAGGTTGTGGAGGCTGGTGCACGATCTCTAAGAATGATTTTTCAATCAAAACTAACCCCCAAGTACAACATTCTAGAGGATAAAGAGATGGATTTTCTCTTCTCACTTCTTAATAGCGAGAATGAGACTGTAACAGAACTTGCTGCTAGTATCATTATGCACTCGTGTGAAACTACTGAGGAGCAAAAAGCATTATGTGGTTCTGGGGTTTTAGATAAACTTGCTCTTCTGCTTGAAGGCTCTTCAAATCAAAGGGATGCTAGCTTAGATTCACTGGCATCTGTTGTCAAGAACAATAGGGAAGTTGTCTCAAAATTTGTGGGTCTTCACAATGGAAAAGTCTTGAGTTCTGTAAATGGGTTAACAAAGGACAGATCTCCTCGCACGAGATTGCTTGCTTGCTCTTTATTGATAGCTTTAGGTCGGGCTTGTCCTAGCCAATTGCAAGACATAGAAAGTAAGGCTGATTTGGTGAGGATATTAGTTGAGCTTGTCGAAGAGCCTGGCCGTGCTGGTGATGAAGCTCCTAGAGCATTGGGTGATCTTATAGAAAAGAGTGAAGAGGTGCAGAAACTTGCTTGTTCTGTCAATGCTGTTGAAAAGCTTTGCAAGTTCTTGCATAAAGGTTCAATACAAGCCAAACCTCTCGCAGGAATATTACATGCTTTGGCTGAGCTATGCTCAAATTTGGAGGATAATCGGCGTCTGTTCCTGTCATTGCAGGTGTGTGGACTCATGAGGGAGTGATTTCCTTCCTGTGGCCTACTCTGCTGTTTTGATCATTGGAGAATCACACGGCATTTAATTATCTTTTGTATGATTAACACTTTACTGATCTACATCTTTGCTTTGCGACTAATGGGCAACAAATGTACATGCTGTTGATGTACTTCTACCTAATTAAACTTATTAAGAACACTGAAGAAGAGTTGGCAGAATGTATATTGTTTAAAATAACAGAAAAACTATAGAACTAAAATCCTATATCAGAGGCATTTGAAGTACAAGAGTGGGAGGAAAGGAGGGGCAAAGTTATGGTCAATAATGAGGAATCATTATCATGGTAAATATTGGAGCCCTTTCAATATTTTTATGTGAATAGAAATATACATAGCTTACGTTTAAAGCTATTTGGGGTTATCCAGCTTCAAGTAATTTTTCTTAGATGAGAGGGAAGTATCCATTTTTAAGTATATTGGAGAAACACCAGTGATTTGTAGTTCTTGTCCTGAAAGAAGTCTATGGGAGGTATTTATTCCACAAAAGAAGTCTTTTGGAGGGAGGCAGTAACATTAGGTAGGTTTTTAGTATAATGAGTAAAGATTGCTAACAAGGGATTACAGAGGGAAGACCCTCTAGGAGTATAGATTTGTGGTGCTTGTGTCAACTATGTATACTTAAATGGGTGTCAGAAATTTGGGATGATTTTGGAAGGAATAGTCGCTAATGTCTTCAAAAGTCGAATTGATTGTCCTTTGCTTATGTAACATGCACTGTATAGCGTGTTTTCTTTTTGCTTTTCATGAGATTGTAATTTCGATCTTGTCCACTATTATGGACTAAGGAGTCACTATCTGTCTTTATGGTGATCCTGAGCACATTGGTTGATTATGATCTTTCTATCGGAAGTTTGGGGCCACTGTGAGTATCCATGATTTCATATATGTGTATAGTTCTGATTTCAGTTCTTTTTATAGGGATTGCCCTTGGTAGCTGAAATGCTTAACCATGAGTCTGTTGGAGTGCGTATTGCAGCTTGTATCTGCATCAGAAACATATCCCGTTCTGTCAAGGTTGATATTAGATCTCATGGTTTGTTTATGTTGTTTGAAATTATGGGTTTTTGACTTTCTAATAATGAAATTCTTATTTTCTCTTTATTCAGAACTTGAGTGATGGTCTTACAGATAAAAGCATTGTTATCCCTCTCATTCATCTCTTTGATGATCCATCTATTGAAGTACAGGTATGCTGTCTCTTACATCTATGTCCTCTGATCCCATGAAAGTATTGAATTCTCATATGTTGGTAAAGATTCCTGGTGTATTGGATTGTCATTTTTTTTTTGTTTCTATAATTTTGTGATTTAACTTTATTGTGAAATCAAAGTCGCATGTTCTCGTTTGAGGAGAAATATGTCTCTAACGTTTCTCTCTAATATACAATAACGTCAGAACTCAATGATCGTGTCTCACAAATGACAATTAAGTTTCTGAGAATTTTCTAAAGACTTTTGAAATTGTGTTGTTGTCTCATCGAGTCTTCTCTGTGGCATAACGCTGAAGAGTGTCAAATATATGTCTTCTGCATGCATTGAGATCATCTGCCTTTGACTCATATACCTGGGTTATTCTCTCATCTTCCTGCACTTATGTGTGCTCAAAACAAGAGTTCCATGTAATTTTCTTTTTGGTTCCTAAGCAAATAGTAGTTCCATCGAGATTGCTTTACAGTCGTAAGGTGTTTTTACATATTTATCGAGCATGTGAAGGTCGAATGCCATCATATATGGGAGTAGTTTATAACAGGCTTTATGATGTAGCTAGTGTTTTCCCTTCTTCTTCTTTTTTTATTTGTGGTTAGGGTTTGTTTTGTTAAGAATTAGTGCGGTTAGTTTGCTATTTGAATTTTGTAAATTTTATGAGTATTTATGCAATTTATGGCCCTTTATGGCTCTTTGGAAATCTCTATCCTAGATTTGATTCATATCTTGGATATGTATCTTCCAGGAGATACATATCTTTGGATATATTGGGTAAAAGAGATCATCTAGGTGGAAACTAGGCTTGGCAAATCGGTTTTTGGGGTCACACTTTTTTCAATGTTAACCATGCCCTTTCTCTCTTTAACTGCTTTATCTTTCTAACCACGCCTTTTCTCTCTAACTCCAGAGTCTGTGTTCCCTCTCTATAGATCATCTTCCTCTAGACCTCTCTCTCTAACCGTGCTCCTCTCTATAACTCCTGTCTCTCAAATTATGCTCTTTATCTCTCTAATCATGCCTTGCGTATCTCCAATTCCACTCTGTTTAGCTATGCCCTTTGTCTCTCTAACTGTACCCCGTCTTTCTTTTACTTCTCTCTCTAACTGTGCCGTCTCTCTCTAACTCCTTCCTCCAACTGTGCTTTTTTTTCTCACTAATCCCACTTTATCTAACCGTGCCATTTCTCCAATGCTAATCTCTAATTGTGACTTTTCTCTCTGACCGTGACCTCTCTCTCCGAATGAAGGAGAGTTTATGGGGAGTAATAAAGGAGGAGAGGAGAGGGGCAAATAGACCCCTTAGCTTGCTGATTGATAATCTCCGTGATGTGACATATCCTGGATATGCAAATTCCAGCTTTTTTTTTCCTTTTTCAGTAGGGCCAATATCGGCACATCCTGGATATGATTCCCTTTGTGGGTTAGGATAGAATAGGGGGACCAAAGGAGTGCCAAACACAATTTTTTGGGTCATGTCCTGGATATGCAATTCTTGGAAAGGGATCTCCAAGGATTCAAACAGGCCATTAACATTGTAGAGGTTCTAAAGGCCAATTACTGTATTGTTTTAGAGATTTTTAGGATTTTTTAATAGTTATGTTTTCTCTTGTGAAGAAAGAAGAGGAATGGAAAAATATTGATTTTTAAAAGACCTTGAGTTTCTTGGTGGATTTTTCTTGCAAACCCAGGGAGAACATATATTATTGCATTCCTATATTCATTTTATTTTTTTTACTTTTTTCCTCTCTCTCTTTCATCAATTTGTTATTAGAGCCTCAAGAGATCTACAACATGATGTCACCAAATCTACATCCTATAAACGTAGACAAGATTTATCCAATCATGCACATGTGGATCTAATATTTGAGAAGTTTTCTAAGAAATTATGAGAAGGCATGCAAGAAATAATTGACTTATTAAAGCGGCACATGGAAGAAGAATGTCATGGAGATGTGGATTATCTAACCTCAAATCCAAACATGAATTAAACATCATGACAAAATCTAGTAGTTGATCTTGTTGTATTTCATGAAAAGGAAGTTGTTGAGCATTCAAGAAATCATGGCATCAAGATTGATCACCGAATTTACATGTTTTCATGGTTATAACACAACTTTGTGGATCAAGCTTAAACATCGTGAGTTCTTTGCGGAAAAGGTGAAAATTTCTAGATTGAAATAAAGAAGAACGTGAAAGTTCCTCAGGGTTGAGGATGAGCTTCTCCCAACCCCTGGATAGTGGTTAGGTTTTATTTTTTGATGTGATTATAATGTAGAAGAAATTGAGGGAACAATAAAATTAACAAAAAACCAAGCCAAACACAAGCAATTTTGGAGAAACCCTAAGGCATTCTTCCACCTAGGACTCAAGCCTTAGGCCCTAAGGCATTCTTTCACTTAGGACTCAAGCCTTAGGCTTCTTTTACAAGACAATCTTTTTTTCCTTAAAGAGGAATACATGAATGACTCTCCAGCCCATCCATGCCATTATTTATATTGAAAAATTATTGTTTTGGACAATATTTATCCATAAAACTAACTTTTGTCTAAAAAGTCCATAGAATTCCTAGAAACTAAAAAACCCTAGAATTAAACCCTAAAACTAAAATCAAAATATAAATCATTTAAAATGGAATAGAAATTAAAAATAAGTATATTTTTTCCCTCCATCGTTCTCCCCTTGTTGGAGAAAACTCGTCCTCGAGTTTTGAAGTATTCTAAGATGAATTCAACATCAAAACCACATTCTTTAACCTTCTTTTTCTTCGTTGGCTCAAATATTATTCAAGTCAAAAAAAATTCCTCAAGAAATGAGTCTTGATATGCATATTGAGGAATCCATGCAAATTTATCTAATTCAGGTAGTTATTCCTGAACTCTCATTGGAAATCATGTAAGATACATCAGGGCCATAATTTGCGGTTTAGACGACCACATTTTCACTACACTACTTTGATTCCCATGCCCTAAATTTGTTGAACGCCCCAGCTCTTAAATATTGATGAGATATTCAAAGGGCATGATTTTGATCAGTCCTCCTGCTGCTTTCTATCCATATTCTTCCCCCTCTTCCAAAAGATCGTCACCATTATCTTGAACCTTATCATAGATCGGATCTCCTAAGAAATCTTGTTCTTCATCTGAGTATATGTTGAAGATTGGTGATGAATTCCAATCAACAACTTGTTGACTTTCCATGTAGTCTATGTCAAAACAAAAAATATCATCCTTCAAATCGAAAACCATAGAGTGATGTTCATCACATCTAGGTCTTTTGTCATTATCCTCATCACCCGACTCCACATGTGGAGCGCGAAAATGAAAAGGCTTGTACTCGAGACCCTCTTGGGCTGAAAGATCACCGTCTTGCCCATCGTGGAGGCTCGCGAACTGCTATGCTAGCTGTTGTACTTTCAAGTTCCTCATTTTTGTCATCGATAGGATCATGGAGTATATCTACGAAAATCCCCTTTCTATGGTCCCTTTTCGCTGCCATGGGTTTGCGAAATCACAAACCCTAGGTAAATAATCAACAAAAAACTGCTGAAATTAGCAAAATTCAGGTTGTTTTGACGCAACTTTGGCCAAAATCAGTAAATCCTAGACCCCACTATGACTTCCCCTCTTTGTTGTTGACCTAGCTCACCAAAACGAGTGGTGCTAAAGTAACTTCCGTACTTGCTACAGTACATGTTGTACTTGCTACAGCGACTGCGTGTAGATCGCGGGCTCTGATACCACTTGATGTTGGAGAAATTGAGGGAACAATAAAATTAATAAGAAACAAGCCAAACACAAGCAATTTTAGAGAAACTCTAATGCATTCTTTCACCTAGGTCTCAAGCCTTAGGCTTCTTTTATAAGACAAAGTCTTTTATTTCTTAAAGAGGAATACATGAATGACTCTCCAGCCCATCTATGCCCTTATTTATATTGAAAAATTATCGTTTTGGGCAATATTTGTTCATACAACTAACTATTGACCAAAAGGTCCTAATTTAAGTAAAACTTGAAACTAAACTACCTAACTTTAATTAAAATATCTAAAAAGCCCCTAGAATTCCTAGAAACTAAAAAACCCTATAATTAAACCCTAAAACTAAAATTAAAATATACATCCTTTAAAATGGAATAGAAATTAAAAATAAGTATAATTTTTCCCTCCATCAGATTAGGGCTTGTTTTCTTAGGAACGAATAAGATTAGTTTGATCTTTAATTTTATAGTTTTTGGGTTTATTTAAGTCATTTCATGTTGTAGAGATTCTGAGGACAATTATGTCCTTTATTTTTTTTTGAGATTTTTAGGAATTTTCTTTGTAAATTACAAAATATATGAATTATTTTAAAGAAAGGGACAAACAGAAGAAGCAATGTTGTTTTCTTGTAGTGCTTGTGAAGAGACACTGAATTTGGGCGTTTCCCTTGCAGTCCTAGAGAGAGGGCCAAACCTCTCAACCTTTTGGGTGGTTCCCTCACAGATCTAGAGAGAGGGTATATTCTCTTAATCTCCTATCGTTTTGTATTTGTTTACTTTTTTGTTTTAAATCACTCATTCCTCTGCATCATGTTGTCGCACTCACTCGTATTTGCTCAGAATTTTGGGTTGTTTATTTGTTTATTTAATAAACTACCACCTATTGATTTGAATATGCCAATATGAGTGGGGTTAGTGAGCTATCTTATGTACACATCATAATTATGTAGACATCATAGTTCTGTGATCTTTTAGCATATTTTTATATTTTAACTAAATATCATAGACATTATTGAATGAAAACTAAATGTGTATGCTCTTCCTAAGCTTTGTCTTGTAGTTGACTTGCTCTCAAATGTCATATTGAATTGGCAGAGTCTGGTATATGTATTTGTATTTTAACCTTCTATGTATGTTGATTCTGAATTCTTTCATTTATAGTTGGTTCACATAATTTAATGGTATTTTTAACCTGAAGTTCCAACTAAAGCTTAATTTGAATGAGTTGGAAGATGTAAACTGGCTCTTTTTATTAGCTACAACCACATCTTGATCATCATTTGTTGGAACTAGTAATGCATCCCGTCTCTTAGGGACTTGACTGTGAGCTGGTCCATCTAAGTAAAATTTTACTTTCAGGTTGCAGCTCTTGGTGCCACTAGCAACATTTTAGTTCATTTTACCACTCACAAATCAATTGTCTTTGAATGTGGAGGTGTTAAGCAACTTGTTAAGCTGTCCAGTTCGATGGTTTCAGAGCTCAGAGTAAATGCAGTCTCGGCTTTGAGGAACTTGATGTTCCAGGCTGATAAGATGTGCAAAGAAAATATTATGTTGGAGCTGACTATATCTACGTTGGCAAGCCTGATATGTGGTACTGTTCCTTTTTTAACTTGACAATAAGAAATCTTGATTCATTAAAGAATGAATTGTGCTTATCTTTTTTCCTGACTCAATTATATTTATCCATCTTACAGATCCAGAACCATTTGTCCAAGAACATGCATTGGTTCTTCTGCGTAATCTTGTGAATGGAAATGTTGACTGTATCAATTATGTGTTCGCAGAGGATGGTCTCATAATAAATGCTGTTACGAGGCAAGTATGGAATGCCTCCAGTGTTGGAATCTGCATTCAGGTTGGTAACTACTTAAGATTTATGTCATATTGTAAGAGTTGTTTGTAACTGGTTTAGAAAGAGAGGATCTATTTATGTTTTTGGAGGGGAGGGTGACAATCTCATTAATCAAACTGAAATTACAATATGAAGCAAAACAATGTGGAACCAAATAGAGATAATGAGAGATCATCTTCACAACGAGGACTAGCTGAAGATAACCAAGAGATTTGAAACCCCCACCTCTTCCTTCACCCATACATAAGCCACCCCATTCATGCTATGATCGACATGGAAAAACAAAACTATATATACATCCTCCACCAGATGAGGTGGGCCTTACCTTCTTAAAGCTTAAGTTGCATATACCCAAGGTTCACCTTGGTCTAATTGGATACTAGTAGGCCTGAGAAGTTCTCCTGCCTCTAATTACTTAGAAGGTTCCTCACATTGTTGTAAAATGCAGCCACATCGCCGCATAGAACAATGTGCTATGCACCCCAAAGTTCATCACATAGGGGCGCACAATTTGCTATGCACTGCATCCCATTGCTTATGCGGCTGCATAGCACATATGCACCGCATTGCTCATGGGCAAAAATAGTGACCACGCGCATGGGTATTTTTTTCAGAAGACATCGTATTATCATAATTCATAAACATCCAAAAACCATAATCACAAACTTGCAATTGCGAACTCCAAAGCAAAGATATATACAACCACTACAAGGCTATGAAGAGTTCAAGAGTCAAGACAAATCATAGAAGACATTAGAAATCAAAAGATGATCTAATCAGCTTTTAGCACTCAAGTCTCAAGCCTCAATCTCAAATCTCAACCCTCAAGTCTCAATCTCAACCCTCGATATGTTGACAAATCTATGCTCAAACTTCTTCAAAACAACGCCCAAGCTAATCCCAATCAACCACCCAACCAACACCTAGAGAAAATCGACAATTTTTTTTCAAACAAATTTCCACCATAATTTTCTTCCTCTTCGTTTGATCCAAAACAGCAACATTTGTGGTTGTTTTTTGCGTTTGGGGGGGTTTAATACCCCCCGAAATAGTGACCACGCGCATGGGTATTTTTGGTCAGAACATGGATTGATTCCTGTACAGGATGAGGTTATAATGGATTAATTTCATACCATATCTCGATCAGGTTGTGCATGCTTAATACTCTTCAGTATTGTACACTGCTTGGACCCATTCCAATCTATATTTTGATAAAAACCCAACTTAGACACAACCCCAAGAAATATGACCAATATACTCTCCATATGTATTTACAGGCAACACTTCTCTCCATCATATTCATGACACGAAACCATGACTAGTCCTCTTTTCTTGTAATCCCTTTTCCGAGACCTCATCTAGCATGTCTTGCAAACCCTTGCCTTTCTGAAGACTATATCATTTATGTGTGTGTGTGTGCGTGCGTGCGTGTGTTACCATGCGCGTGTGTGGGTGCGTGCGTGTGTGCGAGTGGGTGCGTGCGGGCAGGTGTGTGGGTGCGTGCGGGTGGGCGAGAGTGTGTGCGCGTGCACATGTGTGCGTGCGTGCAGGCAGGCTGGTTTGTGCGTGTGCGGCGGACATGCGGGCATGCAAGTGAGTGCGGGCGCACACGAGTATATTTCAAGAACGGAGGTTTTGAAAGGAGGGGGAAGGAGAGGGTCTAACTACCACTTCATTTGCCAAAGAATCTGCCATGCTTCTTGTTTTAGAAAGAAAATGTATGGACGATTATTAGGCGGGGAATCTGGATCTGGCAACATTGGCAATTCATTCTCAAGACCTCAGAAGAAAATTTCACTTTTTTAATGCTTTTAGATAATTTAGTCATTTCCTAATTTTTTAAAAAAGTTTAGTTACTAATTGCAAAAAGGGACGCAGTTGAGTATATCTCAAGAAGGGAGATTTTGAGAGGGGGAAAGGAGATCGTCTAATTCCTACTTCTCTTGCCAAAGAATCTGCCATGCTTCTTGCTCTAGAAAGTAAATGTGTGGGCAATTATTAGGCGGGACTACATGGAATCTAGACCTGGCAACATTGGCAATTCATTCTCAGGACGTCATAGACGAAAAATTGTCCCTTTTTTAATGCTTTTAGATAACCTAGTCATTTCTTAATTTTTGAAAAAAGTTTAGGTACTAATCGCAAAAAGGGAAGCAGTTGTTTGCCTATATGAGCATGGAAATGGTTTCTTTCAAACACTATGATTTTTTCCTTGGGCCAAATTTTACCTGGTTCAATCATTGATGGCTGAATCCTATCAATGTGTAATGAATCATGATTGAATTCCATTATAATGGAAACGCTTATTCTTTGTAAGGTTATTTTTTTGGTATATGATTCTGCTCATCCCTCTGGAGCAACACTGTTTAATTCTCCTCTTTTGCAGGGGATTTATGTGCTCGCCAATATAGCGGCTGGTGATGAGTTCCACAAGGAAGAGGTTATGCGTATTCTTTTTCCTCTTCCAGAGGATGGGCGCAATCAGTCCATTTTGATCAAATTTTTGCAGGACAGCAGCTCCCCGAAACTGCGGGTTGCTACCCTCTGGTGTATCATAAACCTATCTCATCTGGATAGTCCTGGTGCAGTTGATCGGATTGCTAGAATACGTGGTGCGGGGATAACTTGTGCAATAAAGATCATGGTCAATGATCCTTGTTTGGATGTAAAGGTGACATCTCTCTCTCTCTCTCTCTCTCTCTCTCTCTTTCTCTCTCTCTCTCTCTTTGTCGCTCTCTCCCTCTCTCTCTTCCTTCTACACAAGAAAAAGTAGCCAATGTTGGTCTGTTCACAGTTTCGGGCAAAGATGGCCATGGATCAACTTATGGCTTCTGGGAATTGATGTCTATCTTCATTCACAGCCCAAAGTGTTGGGTCCTTCTTTGGGCGCAATTGGTGACAACTGGCCAAAGTAATCTCTGGTGAGTTGAAATATGGTAATAATGAATTTCACCCTAATTTTGATTATCCTGTGAGATTATGATGACCTTGGAAATGTCTTATTAGTATTTCAAATCGTCTGTATATTTATAGGCACAGACAGGCACATTGTATAAGGATGCAATGCAGCACATTGCATCCTGCATCACATCCAATTATGGTTTTCCATATCATTTTTCTCCCATCGACACTGTTTTATACCTTTTATAATGCATTTTCTTGACCTCTTTTGATTTTTTGTTTACTGTCTTTTGCATTATTATGGTATCTTCAATTATGTTCTTGGTTTTTTTTGGGTACTCGATTTCTCTTTCATTTGATAATGAACAACTAAGTTCTTTAGTTCACTGTGAATCTATTATAGAGCACATATTATAGAGCAAGGTTTAAAAAAACGGATCGGTGACTCGAATTAGTCACACCAATACCCGTGTCGGATCGGGGTATCGGTGGATTGGATTGGAGAATCGGCCGAATGGGCAATTTTTGTCCCAAATTTTTTTCAAAAAATCACTATAAATCTCTAATATATATATATTTTTAGTTTCTAAAAGAAATTAGGAGTGATGCATTATGTACTTTCATTACTTTGAAAAAATAGGTGAACACTGAGACGTTTTCCTATGTGGATGTGTATACAATTATTAATTATAATATAATATTACATCAAAATAATTTAAGAATACTAGAGAACAATTCTATATTATAAGGTTAAAAAAATAATTTTGCATATAGAACATATTATTTTTTAAAAAATACTATTACTTCTCAAAAATCTAATTTTTTAATTTCTTAAAGAAATAGTGACATTTGTATTATGGTTTTTCATTATTGTGTAAAAAATATGTAAATACTGAGAACCTGTCTCTTATTGAGTGTTTGTTGTCTATTACATTTATTTTATAATCAAAATAAAGTCTAAAATGCAACATGAAAATAAAATAAATCTCTCTTATTCAATTTATTTATTGCATTATTGTATTAACTTAGGATTTTGATTTTTAAAAGAAGTTCTATGGTACAAATAATGGAAGGGATGGTTAGTAGAGAGAGAGAGAGAGGTTATTATTAGTAGTGCATGAAATTAGCCTTTAGAAGGCATTATAAAGACTAAAACACAACAAGGGTAGTTGTTCACGTAATTGAAAGTTGTTGCCACAAAGAAGTGGCACTGTTCCCTATGAAGTAGGGTGGAGCGTGCTCTGCTCTTTTTGTCGGCCTAGATTTCGAAAACCAATGCCGTGTGGCATCATATGCTAGCAGAACAGGTAGAGATCCGTATCTAAATGACACGTGGCGGTGTATGCTAACAGAACAGGTAGAGATCCGTATCTAAATGACACGTGGCGGTGTATGCTAACAGAACAGGTAGAACCGGGTACAGATCTGTCTGGACGGCTGGATCCTGATATATTCTGGGATCCAGGACGGATTGGACGATACCCCATCCGTATCGTCCGATTTCGGATCGGGGCAACAAATTTTGAAACACTGATATAGAGTAAACAACTACAAACCATATATAAGCTAGACCAGCAATCATTGAGGTGGTTTGAAGCTTTTTGGATGCTTTAACTATCTTTCATCGATGATGAACAACTGTTGCTTCCTTCACTATGAATTTATGATGGAAGGCATAATATAAACTAACTGCACACCATATAAAGTAGACCAGCAATCGATGAGGTGGTTTGGAGCTTCTGCTGATCAAGTCCTGTTGAGTCAATCCTTTTCTAGTCAGGTAGTTTACAATTGTCCTCACTAAGAATGCGACCAAGGTAAACGCTTCCTTGATTTTAGTTTCTGCATCCTTAAAACACCATGCTATGCTAATTTCATGCACTCTACTTTTTGAATCGCCTGCGGTGCTGTAGAGACTTTTTGAGTCCCCCTAACTCATTCATCATTCATCATACTGGACATCCCACATCTGCTCCAAAACTCTCCCTGAAATTTCTAATTTGCTCATGACTTTCTGGTGCCATGTCCATTGTAACCCATGTTTAGCCTCTCTGAGCCCTTTTAATTTAAAGCCATTCCTCCTCTTCCCATTTTCTGATGATTTTCATTTTTCATGACTTGAAAAGAATACCATTTCCTGGCTTTAGTCAATACAGTATTCTAATGTAGATCAAGTTTGCTCGTCTGAAAATGATGACAAATACCCTTAAGAACATGCTATTCATGAATTTATGTTGACCTTAAGGCTTCAGAGATTAATGACTAGTTGAGACAATATCATTACAAAAAATTCTTAAAGACCTTATGCTAATAAAGTACTATGATTGCCTTGTAATTTTAGTTGTAGGTTTAGATGTGATGCTTCCTATTTGAGTCTTTTGAGACGATGCCATGTTCACACTGAGCTTTTCTCTTTAAAAAAATGTGTATTTTCTTTTTATAAATTTTATCTTATTATATTGCAGAATTCTTTTAGTTGCCCTCAGTATATTATAAAAACTCCTGAGGCCAACTGGGGCTTCAAACATAGCCCAGAAATTTACCTTTCTTGGAGTGAGGTTTGTGACAATTTGTCAACGGCAAATTCATCCATTAAGCTTTCCTGCAGGGTTGAAGAACAGTGGTTTTCTTGGACTTGGTTTCTGCCCATTGCACTTGCAAGCCTGGCCGCCTTTAACTTTCCTCGAAGACAACTGAGAAACTCATGCAGGTTAATGATATCATGGATCTTGGTTCCATTTCATGTTTTTACAACTATATTGGATTCTGTTCGTTCAGCAGAAGTGCAGTCAAAGAGTAGTAATTACTGAAGGTGCATGCATTTTCCCTGTAAATTTAGTGTATTGTAACAATTTCAAATTTAGGACACAATATGCAGTATCGCTAAACTCTTCCCATTGTATGTATTCATGTGCTATGGATTGTTAATAAGCTGGGATGGGTAATTTTGTTACATTCACCTGGGTGCTGCTTTTCAATTGAAGCTCATAGATATAAAATAGTGAAGACTTGTCACCTGAAGTTTCACATCTCTCTCTCTCTCTCTCTCTCTCATGCCCACACGCACATATGTCCATTGGCAACAAATTGACAAGCACACTGTTCTTCACTGCATCGAAATATACTTATTGAGTGTGATAAAGCCAGTTGGTCTCATCCTTTGTTTGGGTTGGTTAGCTGGGAGATGCTGTGAACCTTGAATCACAATTTTTGTTTGGGTTGGTTAGCTGGGAGATGCTGTAAGCCTTGAATCAGAATTTTGTTATTATTATTGGATAGTTCAGTGGTGGGAATCGAACTTGAGATGTAGTATTGCTTGATGTTTACTACTAACCACTCAGATCGGAGCCCAACTCGTTGCATCACAACTTCATTGCCTAAAATTGACGCTTGGACATCGGAGCACAAATTGGGAGATGATTTGCACTGATGTTGGAGGTAGAATGTCTAGCTTTTTATCTTAGACCAACCCATTATGCTTGGTGAGTGATGGTCCTCTAGTGTCATCTCTATCCCCAATTCAGCTCTGGCCATATGATTTCAAGAATGATTGTTCTCCTCCTTTTCATATCTTACTACATACACTATTAGGTCACATATGTCGCAAGAATAAATAGATACCTCATTGTTAGAGAGAATGTAGGGCACAAAAATGGAGTTTAAGATATAGAGGGTAACATTAAATCTTGAGACAGAGTTAATGGATACGTGATCTTTCTCCTATGTTCCCTATATCATCTTACTATCATCTATCCGAAAATCTCTCTCCAATACCAAATAAAATTCCTAATGTCCTCCTAAGTGTCGCGCTCTTATATCTGTCCTCTAAACTTCTATCGTGATCCTCACGTCTCTTTAAATCATTCAACATGTACTTAAATGAAATGAGACAGCTGGAGGACATGGGAACATAACAAATTAGTTAGGATAAATCTCTAAATTAAAATAATGCAAATAATTCCTTTCCTTTTTTTCATTTTCTTTTTACCAATTTTTTTTTGCATATTCCAAAATCGGATCTTCTAATTCTTTTGTCATTTTCATTTTTGTTGGTTATTCTTTAGTAACTTTCTTTTTATTTCTAATACAAAATATTAAATCATCCAATTTTCTTTTTTCCTTTTCTAAAATAATCTCTTCCAGTCTCTGATTTTATAAAAAACTGGAAAAATACAGATGATCCATTTTTTATTTTATGCAAAAAAATATTATAATATATTAGTAAGATTTTTTTTTTGTCTTTTTTTGCAAACTATAATATATTATCTGAAAAATAATACTAATGCAAAAAATCCTATTTTTCAGTATTTCTGTAAATAATATAATTTAAATGATAATATATTCGTAAATATATTCTTGCCAAAAACAAAAGTTATTACGTACTCCGTTACATCATTTTTCTAATATAATGCAAATATTTTATTTCGTTCCTTTTCATGCAAACAATATAATTGTAAATATATCTTTTTTTGAGAAAATAATTTATGATAAAACATAATATAATAAAGTTTGTCATTTTTTTGCATTCTCTTTTTTTCCTTATTACATTTTCCAAAATTCAAATCGATATTGAAGAAAAATAATTTTCATTTTTTTACACAAATTGTATTTCTTTTTTTTATTTTTTTTAAAAAATATTTTCAGTTCATCTTTTATTGTTGGTCTAATAGAGGTTATTAAATTTTTCCTTAACTTGTCTCAAGCCTGAGTAAAAGAGGTGAATTACGTTAGGTAGGCAGTCCGTCCAAAACTTTGTTACATTTTATCATGACTCATGACCTTATGACGAATGGAGGAACAAAAACCATGCAGCTAACCTCAAATAATTGAGATAAGGCTTTCATGATGATGATGATGGTGGTTTATATTTTTATTTCATGCCAAGCAATTCTTTTTCATTTTTTTTTTGAATTTTGTAATTTATATTATCTTAAGGTGCACCTCCAAATTTTATCATAATATATAATTTTAGTGTAAAATGATATTAAGATTATCTCAAAATCTATTTTCATATCTAATTATAAAATTTAAACTCCAAAAATGGTTAAACATATGAAAATCTTTAAATTGTACAGTCTAAATAATGTGTTGCAAGATGCATTGTTTATGAGACTCAAAATCTTTTTTCTTTCATATTCATACATCGCGATGTTGAGATGATCAATTAAAGAGTTTTGCAACATTAAAACAACCTTTTTTAATGAATTTTTGATGTGCATATGTAATTCTACATTTTAAGAGTTTTTCAACATTAAAACCACTTTTTTTTGATGAATTTTTTAGATGCATATATAATTCTACATTTTAAGGTTGCAACCTTATATAAACTGTGAAGATTAATTCATTGCATTCTCTCTATGACCATATTTTATTGAAAATATTTTTCAAAAATAAATATATTTAAGTGATTAATATTCACCTATCACGTACATCACACATGCATGTTATAAATACGCTTGAATACAATATTCAATATTGAATAAAAAAACCAAATATATTATAAATACGCTAATATATTTTTCTACTCTATCAAAAACTATACCCCTAAATAAAATCATAAATCCTTATATCTTTTATCACGAGTTCCAACTATATCATTTTAAACCTTCTTGCTATGTTTTTACCTTCTATTCAATGGTTTAAAAAGCGAATCGGTGATCCGGATCGGGCATCTCAAAAACTGATCCGGATCGACGAATCGGCAATCCGAATTGAGAATCGGCTAAATCGGTCGGATTAAAGATTCAAAAAAATCCGAAAAAATGATTAAAATTCATTATAAATGTTGTTTTTTAGAAATCCAATAAGAAATGAGGGTACTACATTATTAACTTTTATTTTTCTCATCAATTTGTATATATTGAGATGTTTTTTCCCTGTATAAACTTAAATTAAATATTAAATTGGATCACATAAAAAAAAATCATAGAATTATCATGGATAAAATATATAATTATACATAGACTATTATAAAGTGTAGACTAATCACTGAAGGAATGGCCATTAAAATCTCATTTTGGAGAAAAACCCTAATTCGTTAAAAAAACTCAAATTATTACAGCCTAACTAACTATAATCCAAAATTATTACAACCTAACTAATTATAATATTATATACTGAAATTATAATTATTAGTTTACATTTTATAATTATTTTATTGGATAAATAATAACAAATTAAAAATATTTTAAAATATTATCTAATTAAAAAGTGATTTAAAAATTATTAGAAGAGGCTTCCATATCATATGACTAAAATTAAAAATAAAACCACCAATAAATTCTAATGTAATTATATTAAAAGATTCAAAATAACTTTACCCAAAAAATTGAAAAATAAAGATGCCAAAATTAAAAAAAAAAATCTTATCGGCAATATGCACAATAGCTACAAAAAAATAAAAATAAAAATAAAATATTTTAATAAAACCCATCGAAAAAATTATTTTACTAATAAACATAAAAAAAATTTATATTTGACACACTAAATTAATGAGTGCTACTAATTTATTTTTAAATTTTATATAGCCGTTTATTAGTGCTATTAATTTGACACGCTAAATTAAAATGCTACACATATGGCTTGCAATAGTTAATGGCTTGGAAAAATTATACGCCCGTTTTATTAGGTAATAGCTTGTGTGACAATGGCTTGCACGCTGTTGAAGGCAAGTGGGAATTGTCCCACATCGGAAATATCAAGCGACTTCCAAGTTTATAAAACATGTGAGGATGAGCTCTTCAACAGCGTGCGAGCGAACGGTACATGGGATAACACTTGGGTGTATATGAATATGGTACTGCCATACGACAATGTCGATATTACTTTTATTTTTAAGACAAATATCCCAATTACCCTTGGAAACGTCGTACATGCCGAGACATGACGTCACCATCCGATTCTATACAGTGAATCAGCCGGAATCGCCGATTCTCTTCTAAAAACGGGCGATGTCCATCCGATTCTATACAGTGAATCAGCCGGAATCGCCGATTCTCTTCTAAAAACGGGCGATGTCCATCCGATTCTATAACTCTTCTGAAAACGGGCGATGTCCAAAATATTAGAGCAACCTTGTACGTACGCACGTGTGAATGCACACGACTGAACGAGAACACGTGCGTGAACAAGATGGGAACCAGCGGTTCTCTCTGAAACCGGGCGGTTCCCAATTTTATGATGGAATCGGTACGGACTGTGCGGTTTTCGAATCGAACCGGGCGAATCCGGTTCGACTCGCAGATTTTTAAAACACTGCTTCTATTTAAATCAACTCGTATTTCATAACAATTGTTAAAATAGATTTGTGCTACAAATATCCAACCCATCCAAGTCTATTTTCACTATCAGCCTATTAAAACCACATTTAAATTCTTATAAATATCTTTATTCAATTTATATCCCTGACTCATCTCAACATGATCTCATTCTTCTGAATATCTTTATTCCAATGGTTTAAAAACCGGATCGGTGACCCTGATCGGGCTTTTCAAAAACCGATCTGGATCGACAAATCGGCTATCCGGATCGGCGAATCGGCGATCCGGATCGGAATCGAGTGAATCGGTCAAAATAAAGCTTCAAAAAATCCGAAAAAATTATTAAAATTCATTATAAATATTGTTTTTTAGGAATTCAAAGGGAACTCCATTAAGAATTTTCATGTTTTTGAATGAATATGCGAATATTGATATGTTCTTCCCCTGCATGAACTGCCATTCAACATTTAATTTACATCACACAAAAGGATAAACATAGAATTATCATGAAATAAGTATATCAACATACATGGACTACAATAAAGCATAAAATTAGTAACATACGATCTAAATTAAAATGTAAAAAGTTTAAATTAACCTGACAGTTCAAAAAGAAAAATAATCATCATATGTAGTGATAATATGTTGCGGTAGTTCATGTAGTCATATTCGTTGTTATTTGTTATTGCAAAAGGACAATAATATTTTCGTACATATCAATTACAAACAT